AAACTTTTCTATAAAATGTGGAGATCATGATCTGTTTGCAGATCTATTGGTTTATTTATGAAGGTGAAGTTACTGGAAAAGAATTTGCAATTAAAATGAACTCTTTTTAAAAGTGTAAACTTCGAATTAAAGCAAAATTATTTTTCTAGAAAAGTTCGCTTCAATACGAAGCAGCTTTAGTATAAAAAGTTTTCATCTTTTTTGAAGCAACTTTTCTAGAAAAAGTTCGCTTTAACTTGAAGCAACTTTTGTAGAAAAAGTTCGCTTTAACTTGAAGAAACTTTTCTAGAAAAAGTTCGCTTTAACTTAAAGCAACTTTTCTAGAAAAGGTTCGCTTTAACTTGAAGCAACTTTTCTAGAAAATGTTCGCTTTAACTTGAAGCAACTTTTCTAGAAAAAGTTCGCTTTAACTTAAAGCAAATTTTTTAGAAAAAGTTCGCTTTAACTTAAAGCAACTTTTCTAGAAAAAGTTCGCTTTAACTTGAAGCAACTTTTCTAGAAAAAGTTCGTTGCTTTAACTTAAAGCAACTTTTCTAGAAAAAGTTCGCTTTAACTTAAAGCAAATTTTTTAGAAAAAGTTCGTTTTAACTTAAAGCAACTTTTCTAGAAAAAGATCGCTTTAACTTGAAGCAACTTTTATAGAAAAAGTTCGCTTCAATTTAAAGCAACTTTTCTAGAGAAAGTTCGCTTTAACTTAAAGCAACTTTTCTAGAAGAAGTTCGCTTTAACTTGAAGCAACTTTTCTAGAAAAAGTTCGCTTCAATATGAAGCAACTTTTCTAGAAAAAGTTCGCTTTAACTTAAAGCAACTTTTCTAGAAAAAGTTCGCTTCAATTTAAAGCAACTTTTCTAGAGAAAGTTCGCTTCAATATGAAGCAACTTTTCTAGAAAAAGTTCGCTATAATATGAAGCAGCTTTTCTAGGGAAAGTTCGCTTCAATATGAAGCAACTTTTTTAGAAAAACTTCGCTTCAACTTGAAGTAACTTTTCTAGAAAATATTTCTATAAAAGGTCGCAACATTTTAGAACAATTTGAAGCAACTTTTCTATAAAAAGTTCAAAATTTGAAGCAACTCTTTCTGTATTAAAGATTTCAACTTACTTTACAAGATAATTAAATGCCAAATTAAGAGCCAGTGGAGTTGAATGAAAAATTTCCTCATTCATCCATACAGACAGACGAGGTTTTGAATCCTTTAATGCCGCTAAACTATTAGAATTGCTCTCCAATCTCTGTTCATCTAACTTGTTAGAATATTTCAAATTTCTATAGGAAAATACACCATTTGAAATGTCGTCTAAATTTAAAATTTCTACATAAAAATTGACATTATCTCTCTTTACACCTTGACTGGAAAATATTATGCTATGGACTTTTAAATTGGCCAAAGACATTTGATCGAAAATCATTATTAGAAAACAGGCCATAAAGATGATAAAAATTGGTAGAGAATTTTTAGCTTGAAGGCATAATTTTTTAAAAAATACAGCTTGAGCTAAAAGCTTGTGGAATTTTGTTTTCTTTTCATGTAAAAATTTTAAAGAATTTTTAACATTGGGTAGAGGTTGTTTTATATCTGGTTTAAGGGTCAAGGACATATAGACATCATTGAGGCTGCTGCCGCTTATATAGATATTAGTGATGCCTAGTTTGTTAAAATCTTTTTCCAATTCGATTAGTAAACGTTGAAAAATCGGTTTTCTATCGGCTGGCATAAGGTATATAACGCGATCGATAAAATGTTGATGAATTTTGATATTTGCTATATATTTGTTTAATAGTTGAGTTATAGGTTTAATGGGTTTCATAGGTTGTATGAAACATATCTGAAATAAGGGGTTTTAATATTAATTAAAGTTTCCTTTTTATATTATTTACAATTTACCAAATAAAATCCCACACCAAATGTTGTTCTCAAAAAGTAGGGGGAACCCCAGGCTATCAAACTACCCTCATTTAGAATTCCTATACGATCTCCGATTTCAGCAGCTTCATCCACTGAAAATGTGCTAATAATAATGCAACGATTTTCTTTTTCTTGTCTTAAAATATCCCAATAACGAAACTGATCCTCCGATTTCATATGTAAAGTGGGTTCATCCAATAATATTACCGAGGTATTACACACTAAAGTACAGCATAAACTTAAAAGACGTTTCTCTCCAAAACTTAAAGTTTTAACAAGTTTACAACAATCTTTTATAGTATATTTAACTATATTAAGCCATTTATTTAGTTCCAATTCTAGCTGCCGTGTATCTTCTTTCGTTTTTTTAAGTAAAATAAAATATTTCAGTGTTTCTCGAATTGTAAGGATATCAAATACACTATTATTGGGCATAGAAACATCCGTACATGATCTATAGTTGCATGTTTTAATGGTGATATCTTGTCCCAGATAGAAAATCTGACCTTCATAAGTTTGCCATCCCGCCAATATACTTAATAACGACGTTTTACCGCTACCATGAGGACCCAATATAACAGAAATTTCATTCTTAAAAAATCTCATGGAAATATTTTTCAATTGAGATCTATTGTTAAAATAATCACAGGAACTAGAAACATTTTTTAACTCCAAAATTTCTGTATTTAAGGGACCATATTCCATATTATTTTCATATAAATTTGGTTTAATCTCCTGGTAATTCTTCTTACATAACTGTTTATTTTTTACTCTGCTAATTCTTCTTCTAATATAACGACCGGGCCAATAATAATCTCCACATTTCAATATCAAGTTATATATGATTAATATTACAAATTGTAAAATAAACAAATCTAAGGTCTCGATTTCTTCTCCTTGAAAATAATCTATTAATCCATTTGGCAGGATATTGTTGAAGAATACTAAAGATATGAATATAATCTTTGGTTTAATTATAGTAAAATGTATAGTATTCAATATTTCCGAGAATACAGCATATGAAATGATCCATAAGGTGAAGCCCAACCATAGGGCTGTCTTTCCATTTGCAATCAATGATGAAAAAATCATGGCATAAACGATTAATAACATATTGTACACGATTAAAAATCCGAATAATAGTAAAGGTTTACCAGTTGGAAGTGGGGAAGAAATGGACTAAAATGAGAACAAAGAAAGAAATTAGTTGATATTTTCCTAGAAATAAACTTTTCTATATAAAGTTGTCCTCAATTTGAAGTAAAAATTCTATATAAGAAAACTTTTCTACATAAAGTTGACTTCAAGTTAGAGACACTTTTCAACATGAAGTTGGATTCATGTTAAAGGAACTTTTCTATAAAAAGTTTTCAATTTAAAGAATCTTGTCTATATAGAGTTCTATAATAAGGTGTCTTCTATTCAAAGCAGTATTTTTATATAAAGTTTACTTATATTAGCCACAACTTCCTCAAGTTAAAGAAACTTTTCTATATAAAGTTGGATTCAATTAAAACCAACTTATCTATATAAAAATTGTCTTCAACTTAAACCAACTTTTTTATATAAAGATATCTTTCTATATAGAGTTGTCTTCAATTTGAAAAAACTTTTCTATATAAAGTAGTTTTTAGTTTGGTGGAACTATTCCTTATAAAGTGAAAAATTTTTCTATAAAAGCAATTCTTACAATTATAAATCCGAATATCACCAAGTCCAATAGTATAAAATGTAATAAAGATACAACACAATGAGCAAATCTTTGGGTGTTATAAGAAAGTCCATAAAGCCAATGATGTGCAAATATATTTTCTTCATGTTCCCGGGAAAATTTCTAAAAAATATATACCAAAAAAAAATCAAAATATATTTTTAAACCAGAATATATTTTTAAACTTACCCATAACAGATTCAAAAATGGCATCAAATATAGAAAATAATATAAAGACCAAATTAAAAAACTTTCTCGAGTTATAGTTCTTCTATGCATATCATTAACACAAGGTATTTTAGGTTCCGAATTGTAATGCATATAAATCAATTTAGGCATTTCATAGTCTTTAGTTACATCCAGATTTTCTACATTAAGTTGAGTGGCTACTGTAGTATATAACAGCTGAAGAAAACCTTCACGATCATAATAATCTAAATGTTTTTTATTAGCCGAATCCAAGAGACCTGAACATCTCGTTAACCAAAAATCGTGGGGTTTATAATAGTTCTTAGAGGGTCTAGTGCGAAAATAATTTGGAAATCTTATGGTTATATTATGACCTTGCAAAACAACAGCAGCTAATGTATTGGCGGCCGTAAACTGTTCTAGCATTTCATTTTCCGTGTCAAATCCTATGGCAGCACTTAAATTTAATTGTTGGGCAGTTAGTTTGAAAATATTTTGGTTGTAATTATTGACAGGAGTGTAATATAAGTTGTAGGGTATTTTAGCACTACTTATGCCCATTAGTTTTCTGTAAATATTAATATAATATTTATCATGATTAAATAATTAAGTATAATTCCTTACAAACTTACTTAAATTCAATTAAATCATATGGTATTACATCTCTACGGAAGAAACTTTTCTTTAAAGTTTTATTGTCTGTCCTTTGCAAAAGTATTACGGCTATAAATATGGCCATTATTAACAGAATTTCTATTAAAGTGTTTTTATATGATCTTAGTTCCACTATTAGATTCTTTTTGAGAAGTAAACAGAAACCTCTTCTAACCATTTTAATGATTTGTTTGAGGGAGGAAATTAAATAATGTTTGGTTTTAAAAAAATATATTTCTGAAATGTTTGAATTAAAACTGAATTTGAAGTTTTGAAAAAGAAACAAAAATATTTTGATTACAGTTTCATATAAAAAGTTGACTTTAAATTTAAGCGGATATTTTATATTAAATATATTTCAATTTGAGGCAACTTTTCTCTAATAAGTTGTCTTAATTAGAAACATATTTTCTATATAAAAATGTCTTTAACAAATAATTGCAGCATCCGCTTATTTTACAAAATTACATCGCAGGTCTTGATGCTTTTTTCACCGTTTTTCACCACTACACTAAAACAAAACATTATCCAACACTGTCCCTTTGAAACGGTTAAAAACTGTCAAAAACACAGCTGAGAAAAAAATCTAACCTCAGTTTTTTTTTTCTTCAACAAAATAGATTTTCTACATGCATTGTTGTTAGAATAAAACAAGAAAAACTCTTCTGCTGGTTACTAAATCCAGACAAATTTACGCAATAGGTAAAATTTTCGAAACTTGAAATAAAATTGAATACAAATTGTTAAATAAATATATTTTAACCTTTAGAAAACTCTGTTCATACCAAATGGCCACAGCAACCAAGGCGAGTAAAAATTTCTACAGACTATTTGTGGGTAATTTACCTTGGACAGTTAGTCATCAACAATTAAAAGTGTATTTCAAAGATTTTGGACGTGTGATCAACGCCAATGTTATTTTTGACAAAAAGACCGGTATGTCAAGAGGTTATGGATTTGTTACTGTGAATAGTTTGAAAGCCGTAGAAAAAATTGAAAACGAACAAAAGCACGTCTTGGAAGGCAATTATTTGAATATACAGAAAACATAAACACAAAGAGCAATATTTAACATTGCCAGCATTTAGTTTGATAAGTGAAAATAATTAAAAGAAAATATAATATAAATAAAATAAAAGCAGAGAATACAAGAGAATAACATGGACAACATGGATTATCAGGACAATCATAACGATAGCGATTGGGAGTTTGAGGATGGCGATGAAAATGATGAACTATTTACTAAAGCTACTCAGCAGGTACAAAGAACACACGACAAATTATTACCTAATGATTTACTGGAACTCTATGGTCTGTATAAACAAGCTACAGTGGGGCCCTGTAATACCTCTAAACCGGGTATGTTTAGCATGCAGGCTCGTGCCAAATGGTGCGCCTGGCATGATTTGGCCGATATGCCCAGTGATAAGGCCAAAGAGTTGTATATAGAAAAAATGAAACAATTAGATCCCAAATGGTTTGAAAATGTACAAAATGGTGTTAAATCCATGGCAGGAGGCACAGGTTGGGTAGTACATTCTATAGAACTGCCACCAGACGATCTTAATGCAAAAGAGGAACATGAAAAGGACGTTTTTGATTTTGTTAAAGATCACAATCTGCAACGTTTAAAGCAAACGGTAAAAACCTCTGATTTTGAGCTGTTGGATGAACATGGCATGGGACTTATACACTGGGCCACCGATGCTAATGATTTAGAAATTTTAGAATTTCTTTTGAGTTCCGGCTGTCCGGTAGATTTTCGTGATGCTGAACAACAGTCAGCTTTACACTATGCTGCTTCCTGTGATCATTTGGAGTGTGTGCAATTGTTGCTGCGTTTTGGTGCCAATAAAATGGCTCAAGATGCAGAAGGTCAAACGTGTGTGGATGTATCTAATGATCCTAGTATACGTTCATTATTAGAATCTTAAAATGGATAAATTTTTTATATATACATATTTCTTTGCTTTTATTTTAATAAAAAATAACGAAACTAATAAACTTCTAATTCTTAGACTAGAACATAGAGCAGAGTATAGGATTGGTTACAGGCTAGACTATAATCTGCACATCCAACAGGTTCAACCGTTACAGAAATTATGGTTTAATTTTTGTAAATTCTTAACAAATTGGTGAATCACAATTCAAGTTGTTTGAAATTAAATAGTAAGTTCCTCGGAGTTTTCACCAAAAAAAGATAGCCTGGCAACCCTGGTGGAATAAGTTTTTTTATTTTATAACATTCCCCTAACTTCTTAATACTCGAATTATTCTTGTGAGTTGAGCATTTATCAAGATATGTTTTTTTAGAATTTGTAAGTATTCCTATAAACTTGGCAACCCTGGTAAAATATTTTTTTAGACTTCTAAAATTATTTTTTAATAAATTGGTTAAAGAATGATTACAATCGGTTGAGATGCTACCTATATATAAAATATTGAAAAAACAACAAGTTTTATACAATTTTCCAATTAAATTAAGCCTGGCAACCCTGGTGAAATAATTTTTTAAATTATACAACTCTTCCTTAACAAACTTGTAAAAGAATAATTCCTCTAGGTCCAGTGCTTACCAAAATATAACGTGTTATATCACTCACTTAAGAGTTTATACTATCCTGCTATTTTTCAAAAAGTGATACCCTGGCAACCCTGGTAAAATATTTTTTTAGGTTCTCCAATTATTCTTTCACAAGTAGGTAAAAGAATTTTTCGACTTGGTCCTGTAGATACCAAGATATAACGTGTTATACCTCTCGCTTAAAAATGAGTAAATTCCGCCTTGTAAGCCTGGCAACCCTGGTGAAATAAGTTTTATTTAATTCTACGACTCTTACTTAACAAGTTAGTAAAAAATAATTCTCCGTAGGTCCATTGATTACCGAGATATAACGCGTTATATAGTTAACTAAAGAGTACAGAGTTCCCCGCTATTTTTTCCAAAAATGGTTGCCTGGCAACCCTGGTAAAATAATTTTTTCGAATCTACTGTTATTCCTTAACAAGATGGTAAAGAAATGATTCGACTCGGACCAGTGGTTGTCGAGATATAGCGTTTTTAAACAATCCCGGGTTTTTCACGTTTTCTGAAAGTTGGCAGCCCTGGACAGGGCAACGATCAGCGCCATCTATTGAGCGACATGATTTTCTTTGTGCAGAAAAAAATTCGGTCGACCAATAGATGGCGCTATCGTAAGCCCTAAAGACAGCATTGCCAACATCAAAAAATACCCATTTCTTTGTACGGCATTGCCAGATGTAAATATGAAAAATCCGTTAAATTTAAATAATTTGTAAATAAAAAACAAGTGTTTTTTCAAGGTTTTTAATAAAATTTTCGTTTATTATGTATTTTTTTATAATTAAATGATAAATAACATAATTTTACAATAAATTAATATAAATTAAATGTGTTTTTAACTTATTTATAGGTTTAAAAGTAATTTCAATGCCTTTTGATTCGCTTCACTTGGACTTCCCCCACATCATTATAGAAGAACTTTTCAATAGTTTTGCTGTTATTTTCTTAGATTGTCATCTATTATAGTTTATGCATAATAAGGAGCTGAAATATAACAAAAAATAATTAAATTATGTTATATTTATTTGATTTCAGAATATTTAAGGATAAAATATATTTTTTTTGTATTAATTAAAATAAATGAATTAAACAATTACATTTTAGATGGTGTAAAATTTCACAATATATAACTACTTAGACTAACATCCAGACTATAATTCCACTATATATAGTTCAACATAGTCCAAACTATAAATTACACTATAGAGGGGACTATATAATATATAATACACTCAAGGTCTCAAACCAAATTATAGTCCTGTCTTAAGACTAGACAACAGATTAGATTAAAGACTGTACTAGGGTCCAGACTATAGACTAGACTATAGACTAAACTATAGACTAGACTATAGACTAGATTATAGACTAGACTATGGACTTGAATATAAAATATTATATAGACTGGACTATAGACTATACTATAAACTAGACAATATACTAGACTATAGACTAGACTGTCTACCAGACTGTAGACTAGACTGTATACTAAACTGTAGACTAAACTGTAGACTAATCTATAGACTAGACTATAGACTGGACTATAGACTGGACTATAGACTGGACTATAGACTGGACTATAAACTGGACTATAGACTGAACTATATACTGGACTATATACTGAACTATATACTAGACTATAGACATGATTATAGACTAAACTGTAGACTAGACTATAGACTAGACCATAGACTAGATTATAGACTAGACTATAGACTAAACTATAGACTAGACTATAGACTAGACTATAGACTAAACTATAGACTAGACTATAGACTAGACTATAGACTAGACTATTGACTAGACTATAGACTAGACTATAGACTAGACTATAGACTAGACTATAGACTAGACTATAGACTAGACTATAGACTAGACTATAGACTAGACTATAGACTAGACTATAGACTAGACTATAGACTAGACTATAGACTAGACTATAGACTAGACTATAGACTAGACTATAGACTAGACTATAGACTAGACTATAGACTAGACTATAGACTAGACTATAGTCTAGACTATAGACTAGACTATAGACTAGACTATAGACTAGACTATAGACTAGACTATAGACTAGACTATAGACTAAACTATAGACTCGACTATAGACTAGACTATAGACTAGACTATAGACTAGACTATAGACTAGACTATAGACTAGACTATAGACTAGACTATAGACTAGACTATAGACTAGACTATAAACTAGACTATACACTAGACTATAGACTAGACTATAGACTAGACTATAGACTAGACTATAGACTAGACTATAGACTAGACTATAGACTAGACTATAGACTAGACTATAGACTAGACTATAGACTAGACTATAGACTAGACTATAGACTAGACTATAGACTAGACTATAGACTAGACTATAGACTAGACTAGACTATAGACTAGACTATAGACTAGACTATAGAATAGACTATAGACTATAGACTAGACTATAGACTAGACTATAGACTAGACTATAGACTAGACTATAGACTAGACTATAGACTAGACTATAGACTAGACTATAGACTAGACTATAGACTAGACTATAGACTAGACTATAGACTAGACTATAGACTAGACTATAGACTAGACTATAGACTAGACTATAGACTAGACTATAGACTAGACTATAGACTAGACTATAGACTAGACTATAGACTAGACTATAGACTAGACTAGACTAGACTATAGACTAGACTATAGACTAGACTATAGACTAGACTATAGACTAGACTATAGACTAGACTATAGACTAGACTATAGACTAGACTATAGACTAGACTATAGACTAGACTATAGACTAGACTAGACTAGACTAGACTATAGACTAGACTAGACTATAGACTAGACTAGACTATAGACTAGACTATAGACTAGACTATAGACTAGACTAGACTATAGACTAGACTAGACTATGGACTAGACTAGACTATAGACTAGACTAGACTAGACTATAGAGTAGACTATAGACTAGACTATAGAATAGATTATAGACTGTACTGTAGACTAGACTATAGTCTAGATAACTATGATCCAAACATTGTGTAGACTAATGCTTTATCATAGGCTATTATATATTAATATAGAATATGACCAATACTATAGAAGAAGCAATAGGTCGGACAACTATAGGCGAGATGACAGACTAGACTATTGCCCAGATTATAAATAACCGTTTTATCTTCAAACAGCTTTTTTCATTTCATCAATTGACAGCACTGTTTTTTGCATTCTCTTTTTGCTACTCTTTCTAAACTAAAAAAATAAAAACGTGAGGTTTGCAAACAATTGACAAATCTAGTAAATTTAAAAATAAAGAAAAATTGCTACGAAATGCCTCCTGGTGGTCCAGTTACCTCTGATAGTGATATGGAAAGTGTTTTATCACTACAAATAGAAATTCCTAGAGTTCGGAGAAACAGTGTGGGACCCAAATACTATTGTAGTGTAGAGGGTTGCGGTCAAAGTTTTAAACGTTTGGATCATTTGGACAGACATGAATATAAACATACGGGAATAGTAAGTTGTTGCATTTATTAACCAATTAAATAATTTGTTAAATTCTTTAATAATTTTTGCAGAAAAAACATGCCTGCCATTATGAAAACTGTACGAAAACCTACTCCATAGTTACCCACTTAAAGCGTCACATACGCTCCGCACATGAAAGGCAACCGGAGGAAGTGATTAAAAATGTACCCTGCGAGGTGGATACTTGTGATAAACTCTTCGCCAGTATCAGTAATATGCAACGCCACATACGTGAGGTGCATGAGAATCCCAAAGTTTATCAATGTCAATTTTGTGAAGAGAAGTTTACACAAAAATTAAAAATGCGCCGACATGAAATAAGTAAACATACGGGAGTATATCCTTACAATTGCGACAAGTGCTCGAGGGGCTTCTATCAAAAATGGCAATGGGAAAAACACGAGGAAACCTGTAAAGTATATCCCTGCTCTAATTGTGACGAAACGTTTGATAAGTGGACGTTGTTCCTTAAACATTGCAAAGAAACTCAACATTCACGTAAATACTATAAATGTGAGTACTGTGAACGAGCCTATGTAAAGCCGGGAGAGTTACAAAAGCATGTGGCAGCCAAACATTTGGAGGATGAAAACAACTCTGCGGGAGCCTATAAATGTTCCTATGAAGGTTGTCACAAATCCTATGCTTATGAAAGAAATTTACGCCAACATATTGCCACGACACATGAAGGAAAAAAATTTAAATGCTCCAAGGAGGATTGTGATAAAGAATTTAGTTCTTCGCAAAATTTACAGAAGCATTTGAAAAGAGATCATTGCCCGGAAACGGCGGCTAAGCAAAAGGAACAAGCTACCACATCTAACAAAACCTCACTCAAACGTAAACAACGTAAAGATGCGGGCATGCCAAAAGTTTCTCATTTAGCTCAACTGTCGGGCATAACGGTGGACAAAGATTTGAATAAGAGATTAAAGTCTAGGGATGTAGAGGCTTTAGAAGAGGTGACCAAACAATTGTCACAAGAAATGGATGTGGATACAACATCGGAGGAGGAGGGAGAAATAGTAAAGGAAATTGTTATGGAAAACCAGAATAGTGTTAAGGATGTTACTAAAAATGGGATTTTAAAGAAGTCAGCTTTTAAACCAGCAAATAAAAAGGCAGAAACGTTAACTGAAGAAGATGAGAATCTGGGCGAAAACTTGACATGTGAAAGTGGAGACCAAATAATGCATAAAATTGCACCAACAATAGATCTTTAGATTTGGATATTATACAAAAATGCGCAGATAGAATTAGGATCAATTCAATTGTGAAGAAATTTGAACAAATTTGTTGGGGGTTATTTTGTAAATTGTTTGAAAAATAATTTTCCGATTACAATGGCATTCACAAATGTTTCCATTCTAATCTAATTGCACTATAACTCCCAGCATTTTATGTAAAGCAGTGTGAAATATTATATCAAATTGATATATAGAAAATTTAATAAGTGATTGAAAAGCTATATTGGTTTGTCTTAAATATACAATAAAAATATATATATAAAGCTCCAGCAATGTCTTTTCGTTCTCAATAAATTTATTCAACAGAAAATGCAAACATTAACATTTTTGGGAAATCAACTCTGCGCATTAACTTAAAAGTTTAAAAACCAAAAGGTATTAATTTTCTATAAAAACTCGTCGAATATTTTTTGGATTGAAAATAAAACTTATAATATATTTAACGATAATAAACAGTCAATTAATTTTACATTCTTTCTATACGTACTAATCAAGATTTTCTATAGAAAACTAGTGGAAAAGAATTCTATTGAGAATTGGTCAAACAGTTTGATATTTTTTATAAAAAATTATTCAAATTGAAAAAGAATTGCTAACAAACATCAAATACAATCGAAAATGTGGTGGTCATGAAAAATGGACACTTTTGGCTTTCAGGGTCAATGAAAACCTAAGAGATTTAGACAAGATATCATTAAATCCCATTTACATCTCGTATATTACAATACCAAATATATTTTTTCATAATTTATCAAATTAAACTTTTTATTTTTTAACAAAATTTCGAATAAGAACAATTTACAGGGAATTGATAACCTTGCGTTTGCGCATTTGTTCCAACCAATTCTCAAATTGTTCCGAAGGTGTTTGAGGATTAGGCAAATAGTAATTCTTTGGTGGTTTACCCTCCTCTAGACGTACAAAGTAATGACAATATTTATATTCAACAACACCGACACGACCACGGCCATGACGTCTGAAGCCCTTAAAAACGCGACCTTTACCTACAAAAGATTCAGCTGGAAAAGAAATATAAAGAAGTATATATTAATATGTACTTTTACAGTTAATATTTTTACAGAAACTCACCAATCCATAAGTTACTTTTGTACTCAACATTATGGCTTTTTTGGGCCATTTCAATAGCTTCTTGTATGACTTCCTTAACATCTACGGCTCCCTTTTTTAAAACAAAACTAAGCTGTTTTAAGGCCTCATCGACAGACATGCCTCTGACAAAGGACGCAATGTACCACATTTTATCGGGACTGTATTTGATGTTGGTGCGCATATGACAAACGTACTGTAAGAGTAGTAACATAGGGTCAAACGAGATTTTCGATGAAACTTAAGCCGAGGAATGAATGTATGAATTCTGACAAAGGTTTTGTGATCATTTTAAGACAAATAATGGAAAAGTGATTGTGGTGGGGTATAACAATGAAAATTACTCTGGCTTATGACCAATATATGTATGAGCTGAACCCAGCATTTTGCATTTCCTTTAAAACAATGTTTTGGAACTTAGAACTTTCAAACAACTTACCGCTTTACGGGGTTCCTCTTCTGGTTTTTGTGGTGGGTGAACAATTTTATTGTATTGCAACCATTTCTGTGGTCCTGTATTGTGTTTATTATAACGAGCAGACACACTAGAAGTCGTGTGCAAACCGGCCACCACTAGTGGAGCTGCTAACTTTACTAACTTGTTGCCATTTAACAAATTCAATTGAGTCACCGATAGACGCGTTAACTGTTTAGTTAAATTATTCATGTTTAACGTTTTTTAATACCACTTTAAGTTAAAATTATTGAATTAAATATTTCATTTAAAAATTTGCACTGCGTAACCAAAAAAAGCAGTGAACGAAGGAAGAACAAGAATTATTACTTAACAGCTGATTGTCAAATGTCAGTGGGGGGCCAGTGAGCGAAGTACTAAACTTGGCAGCACTTTAAAGTAAGTCGTAGCAAGGGTTACCAATAAGAAGAGAAATTGTAGGGGGATTTTTAACAAATTAGATATTTGAGGTAAATTATTGGAAATATTATGAAAATTCTTCTAAAGAACAATAATTTTAATGCGAAGGTTATGCTTATTTATAAAAAACTTGTGATACTAGAAAAAACTATAAAGTTGATCTATAGTTTTTCTATTGAGTTCATTTTCAGTAATAAATCACGAGAAACTTAGCTTTTCCATAAAAACTCTTTAAAAGTGTCTTTTAAAATTTTCATACAAAATTTTTAAAAATTAATCTATAAAAATTGGTAGAAGCGTTCTTTTAAAAATAGAGGAAAAGTTATAAACTAAAAAAAGCTGGTGGAAATTTATTTTTTTTAAATTTTCTTAACAATTTCCTATAAAAACTCGACAAAAACTTGTTTTATAATGCGCCTGTCAAAATCTGAAAACGTTTCTATTAAAAATTCGTCGAAAATTTTACTTTTTGTAATTATATTCGTCCTTCTTTAATTTTCAGTAAAAACTGTCGAAAACAACTCATCGAAAACTTTTTTAAAATCTTACTAAGCAATTTCTTTTGGAAATACTTTAATTTTATGAGAAAACTGTCTATAAAATATCTAAAAAACTTTTTTATTAAAACAATATATGTGTATAACACATGCCTTTTCAACTAAAAGCTCACTGAAAACTCTTTCTATAAAAACTCATCAAAAGTATTAAAAACTCGTCGAAAATTTTTTATTGAAAAAATATTATTTTTCTATAAAAAAGAGTTTAAACCTTTCTTACTTCTCCGATGAGTTAGGAATTCGTCGAAAATTTTTTCAATGAAAACTCGTCGAACATTTTTTTGTTGAAATAACAAACTTTGTTATTTCTCCTAACACTGAATTCGTCGAAAACTTTTCAAATTCGTTGAAAATCATTTTAAAACTTTTCTATGAAGATTCGAAAATTTGTCTATTCAATATTCATCAATGCCTTTCTTACTTTTCCTAAGATTGATGAATTCTTACTTTTCCGAAAAAATGTTGTCGAAAAATGATATTAAAATCTCGTCGAAAACATTTTCAAGCAAACACTTTTTTTTAAAAAAACTTGTAAAAAAATTTCGCATAAAAAACTCATCTAAAATACACTCTAAAAACATCTTGTCGAATATTATTACATTTTCTACACATTTAAAAATCTTGTCGAAAAATTATATTAAAATCTCGTCGAAAAAATTTTTAAGCAAACACTTTTTTTTTTAAAAAACTTGTAAAAAAATTTTGCATAAAAAACTCATCTAAAATACACTCTAAATAATATTATTAAATAATATTATTAAATTTTCTACACATTTAAGAATCTTGTCGAAAAATTATATAAAAATCTCGTCGAAAACATTTTCAAGCAAACACTTTAAAAAAAAAACTTGTAAATAATTTTCGCATACAAAACATTTTAAAAACAAAATTGTTAAAACATTTTCTACACATTTATTTTAATTTCTTTAACAGACACCCTATTAAAATCTCCCCCCTTTGTGTTTGAAACTATTGGCATCACTCTTAAAATACTGTCACTACAATTGACTTTCATCTTCAGCTTTTTAGTATTACCGTTATTCCTTGTGGCAAAATACAGCAAAAACAAGAGAAAAACAGCAAAAGAGGAAAGGAAAAACATCATACGTTAGAAAACGTCACTTTTTTTCGTCCTGTTTCATTACTTTTTTGCTGAATTTTTTTAGTGTGTAAAACAGCACACAGTGGTGAACCTTTTTGTTGTGTATAATAAATCGGGGAAAATTTTCTCAAGAAAAAAAAAAATATACATAAAATTTTAAATCAATGAAATAACTAAAAATAAAACAAATATTTTGCAATAAATAAACAAAAAAATTAAAATAAACAAAATTTAAAGTTTAGAAAAGATATGTTTTCCATTTAAAAACAAAAAGAAATTTAAAATTTTACATAATCTATAAGCTAAAGCAGAAAACCAAAAAAAAAAAAAAAAAAAAAAAAAATTAGAAAAAATATAGAAAATAATGTCCTAAACGTGGGTGTGTTTATAAAATCTAAAAATAATATAAATAAAAAGCAAAAATTAGCTAAAAACTAAATTCTCTAAATACCTATAAAATAAACACAAATAATTTATTAAATATTTTACGAAAATCAAAGTAATACCCAAGTACAAGTATGAGTGATTCTACTACTAGGGTTAGTGGTAAACGTGCCTCCTCAGCCAGCAGTAAAAGTGACGCTAAATCATCATCATCATCATCCACAGGATGTAGTAGTAATACAACAGTAGGGACAACGAAGGACTTGAATCTATTGGATTTACCACCAGAAACAAAAAATCTACAAACTCTAGATACCACTAAAACAGTCAATCAGGTAGGTTGGAAGGAAAAGATTACTGGCATTATATAATATTGGGTAATAATATTTTATATGGCTGTTTATTTTCATTTACCACCCCATTTTTTTTTTCAATCAAAGAAATCGTGCGTTTTTTCTGCTATTTTCAATTGTTATTTTGATGAGTTTTTCCTGTGCTGTGTGTGTGTGTGTGTGTGTGGTGTCGTATTTTCTAACCCCCCCCTACTGTGATAAATTTTGTAATAAATACAATTTTTATATCGTATCGTTGTTTGTTTCATTCATTCTTTTCATTTTCATTCAATTAATAAATATTCTTTGTCATTTCCACCCTTTGTTCATGTTTTTCTCTTCTCTTGTCTATTTTTATTTTTTGTATTTAGTTGTTCCACAACAAATAAACATCAGCAAAATCTTCTTCTTTTTCTCATTTTCTCTAATTTCTTTTTCTATTTACTTTACTTTGGCATTGTTGCCATTGTTTTATTACTTTTTTTCAAGTTTGCTTTTTTGTTTTTTCTCTTGTCCCACTTCCGTTTGTTTATTTTTTTTTCACTTTGTTTTTTTTGTTGTCTTGTGTTCCACTTCCGTTTGTTTATCTTTTCTTTAACTTCTTTGTTTTGCTTACTACTTCAGCTTACCGCCATTTTTTTGCTGTTGTTTTTCCTTACACTTTTCAAGACATGTGTTGCGTTTTTTTAAACGCTAATTTAAAATTCATATTTTATTGATTTTTTTGTCTTTTTTCATGTTAAATTCTTGTTAAGTCTTTGGAGATTTATTTATTTACCTTTTCTGTCTTGTCTATTTGCTTTGCTATCTTGTGTTTTTTTTTCGCAGTGTTTGTCTATATTGTAGGCCATTTTTTGTAAAAAGGAGTTTTTGTGTGTGTTTTAGCATGTTAGAGTCATCGTCTGTATGTGGTTGGCTATAAAGTGGGTCAGGGTTAAGTGCAAGTGCGAGTATTAAATGTTTAGAGAATTCTTATAATTAACCATGCAATTTTTAATTACACCTGTTTATTAAGACAATTTTTGTTTGTTTTTCATGCAGTTATTAGAAAGAATGTAATCTTGAGCTTGATTTTAGGTTTAGAAGAGGATCGCATTTTTGTCGAAAAAGATCTACTATCTTGTTAAAAAGATCGTACAACTGCAGATCTTGCTTTGACAAATCATGGTCAGCGACTGAATTGATTTTGTTTTTCAAGTTGACATTATAGGAAATTACACACCAACACCTATAGTGTAGGTGTGTCAGAATGTTCTTAACCTATTACACGTGCTAGGGAATAGAGATTTTGGACGACACTGATGTACGTTATTCCATTAATCAACCTTTTCTTAAGCTACATTTTCATTCATTTTACGTATTAGTGTTATTTTTTTTTTTGGAACTTATAACTCATACGCCCTTAACAACTGTTTCCCTACAGTATAAACATTTATTAAAAAATAATTTTAAATAAAATTTTATATCTTTCTTTTTTAGCAACACACTCCTCAGACGTATACGGAAACTTCAAATGATTTTCCATTTGCTCTACATTTTTTAGCCAATTTCCATCATATTTGTGTATTTACCGCACTATTGCCGCTGGTAACATTATTTACATGTTTTGTAACCGCTTATGTCTTCCAATATGATGAAGTACATGAAACACATTGTAGGGTAAGTTTAAAAGATGAACAGATTTAATAACAATATAGATCAGTCTTTAATCCAATGTAGACCAGACTATAATACGAGTCAAGAGTGAAGTTCAGTCTATAGTCAAGACTATAGTCAGGTCTATAGTCAAGACTATAGTCCAGTCTATGGTCAAGACTATAGTCCAGTCTACAGTTCAGTCTATAGTCAAGACTATAGTCCAGTCTATAGTCAAGACTATATCCAGTCTATAGTCAAGACTATAGCCCAGACTATATTTCAGTCAATAGCCAAGACTATAGTCCAGATTGTATTACAGTCTTTAGTCAAAACTGTAGTCCAGTCTTTAGTCAAGACTATAGTCCAGTCTATAGTCAAGACTATAGTCCAGTCTATAGTCAAGAATATAGTACTGTTTATAGTCAGGACTGTATTCCAGTTTACAGTAAAGACTATAGTCCAGATTGTAGTATAGTCTATAGTCAAGACTATAGTCCAGTCTATAGTCATCTATATTCGAGTATATAGTCATCTATATTCGAGTATATAGTCATCTATAGTCCAGCCTATAGTCAAGACTATAGTCCAGTCTATAATCAAGACTATTGTACAGTCTATAGTTAAGACTATTGTCCAGTCTATAGTCAAGACTATAGTCAGTCTATGGTCAAGACTTAAGTCCAGTCTATAGTTAAGACTATTGTCCAGTCTATAGTCAAGATTATAGTCAGTCTATAGTCAAGACTTTAGTTCAGTCTATAGTCAAGACTATAGTTCAGCCTATAGTAAAGACTATAGACCAGTCTATAGTCAAGACTATAGTCCAGTCTATAGTCAAGACTATATCCAGTCTATAGTCAAGTCTATAGTCAAGACTATAGCCCAGACTATATTCCAGTCAATAGCCAAGACTATAGTCCAGATTGTATTACAGTCTTTAGTCAAAACTGTAGTCCAGTCTTTAGTCAAGACTATAGTCCAGTCTATAGTCAAATTGTAGTACAGTCAATAGTCAAGACTATAGTCCAGTCTATAGTCATCTATATTCGAGTATATAGTCATCTATAGTCCAGCCTATATTCAAGACTATAGTCCAGTCTATAATCAAGACTATTGTACAGTCTATAGTTAAGACTATTGTCCAGTCTATAGTCAAGACTATAGTCAGTCTATAGTGAAGACTTTAGTCCAGTCTATAGTTAAGACTATTGTCCAGTCTATAGTCAAGATTATAGTCAGTCTATAGTCAAGACTTTAGTTCAGTCTATAGTCAAGACTATAGTTCAGCCTATAGTAAAGACTATAGTCCAGTGTATAGTCAAGACTATATTCCAGTCTATAGTCAAGACTATAGTCCAGTGTATAGTCAAGACTATAGTCCAGTCTATAGTCAAGACTATAGTCCAGTCTATAGTCAAGACTATAGTCCAGTCTATAGTCCAGTCTATAGTCAAGACTATAGTCCAGTCTATAGTCAAGACTATAGTCCAGTCTATAGTCAAGACTACAGTCCAGTCTACAGTCAAGACTATAGTCCAGTCTATAGTCAAGACTTTAGTTCAGTCTATGGTCAAGACTATAGTCCAGTCTATGGTCAAGACTATAGTCCAGTCTATAGTCAAGACTATAGTCCAGTCTATAGACAAGACTATAGTCCAGTCTATAGTCAAGACTATAGTCCAGTCTATAGTCAAGACTATAGTCCAGTCTATAGTCAAGACTATAGTCCAGTCTATAGTCAAGACTGTAGTCCAATCTATAGTCAAGACTATAGTCCAGTCTATAGTCAAGACTATAGTCCAGTCTATAGACAAGACTATAGTCCCGTCTATAGTCAAGACTATAGTCCAGTCTATAGTCATCTATATTCGAGTATATAGTCATCTATAGTCCAGCCTATAGTCAAGACTATAGTCCAGCCTATAGTACATACTATAGTCCAGTCTATAATCAAGAATATAGTCGAGTCTGTAGTCAAGGCTGTAGTTCAGTCTATAGTCAAGACTGTAGTCCAGTCTATAGTCAAGACTATAGTCCAGTCTACAGTCAAGACTATAGTCCAGTCTACAGTCAAGACTATAGTCCAGTCTATAGTCAAGACTATAGTCCAGTCTATAATCAAGACTAAAGTCCAGAGCATATTCCAGTTTACAGTCAAGACTATAGTGCAGATTGTATTACAGTCTATAGTCAAGACAATAGTCCAGTCTATAGTCAAGATTATAGTCCAGTCTATAGTCAAGACTATATATAGTTCCTTCTATAGTCAAGACTATAGTCCTTTCTATAGTCAAGATTATAGTCCATAGACTGGACTATAATCGAAAAGTCGTAAAAATTCGAAAAGTTGGAAAAAGTCGGAAAATGCTGAAAAAAGTCGGAAAAAGTCGAAAACTCGAAAATAGTAGAAAAAGTCAAAAATAGTCGAAAATTTTAAAAAAGTGGAAAAAAGTCAAAAACCCTAAAATAGTCGTAAAAAGTCGAAAATAGCCAAAAAGTCGAAAAAAATCGAAAAGTCGGAAAAAATCGACTATAGTACAGTCTATAGTCCACTTTAGAGTCAAGACTGTAGTCCAGTCTATAGTCAATACTACAATCCAGTCTTTATTCAAGAATATAGTCTAGTCGATACTATAGTCTAGTCTATAATCAGGTCCAGTTTTATATAGTTTCACTGTTTGTTGTTTTTGTTAAAAAAAACACTTTAATATTTCTTTTCTCTTTAAGGTTTATAACATTGTACCCTCAATAAGTGCAATTACCGGCGTTAGTCCACAACGTTATTTTTGGCGTTTTAGTATTGCCTTACATTTGGGTCCACGTTTACCCATAGCATTCATATATAAAAACTACTATCGCATTATGTTGGCCAAATTGCAAAAGGAACGTCCGGAAAAAGTTGGCAATACAATGTATGTGGTGTATTTGATATTGGTCTTAAATTGTATAGAAATTGCTTCGTTGGGTGGTGTTACCTATATTTCAAATCGAGAAAATTATCGTAAGTATCCTATATACTTACTGTTTCTTCTTTTTACTTACTGTTTCTTCTTTTTAGCCATACATGAAAAGATTTTTATTACTTTTATGATCTGCTCATTGTGTCATATGTTGGCTACGATCAAATTGAATGATATCATACATGAGGATCATACTGAACTAACACAATTGCAAAGAGATTCAATTAAATGGAAGAAAATCTTATTTGCCATGTCAATTCTGAGCACAATTGGTCTGTTGATTTTCTTTGCCAAACATCGTTTCTATTGTCATGATTTAGGTAAGTAGGTTAAATGAGATTGTCAGATTCTTTATAAAAATTATAATATTTTCCATTTTAGCCTTCAGTTGGTTTGCATTCTTTGAGTATTTAATTGCTATTGCCAACATGTTGTTCCATTTCACTATAATTTGGGATTTTCCCTTTCAATATATGCTGGTCGTGCAAGGACCACGTGCAAAACTAGAAGAAATTTTCCGCAAATCGTTAGCGAAATTGGACTAAACTCTGTTAAATAAAATGCTGACATCAAAATAAGGGCTTTAGCAACAATTTTAACAATTTAATTTAACAAACAAAAGAAAAGTCTTCGAAAATTTATATATAAAAAAAAAAAAAAATTAAACACAAAAACAAAAATCATAAAAACAGCAAAAATACCAAAAACAAAAAAACGTTACAAGTTTATTACGCATAAAAAAAAATAGCAACTACAAAAAACTTTTTGAGAAAAAATACGCACTTTTTACAACTATTATGTATATTTTTTACTAAATTATTTTGTAAAAATCTTTTAGAACTTTGTAATTGTTTTTTTTTCTCTCTCTCTTCTTTGTAGTAAAAAAGCGCTTCCAATTTTTACGCGTTTTGCTTTCGATTTCGACTTAAATTTTTTGAAATTAACTTTAGCTTTTCTATATTTTGATTTCTTCTAATTGAATTTTTCCTGAAATTGTCCTCCTAATGAAGTAAAAAGTTCCTTTTAAACTTAAAAAAAAAAACAACAAGAAATAAACAAACACTTAAGAAATTAAATAATTTTAATTACAGTATTAATAGTTAAATGTAGACAATTATTTATTGAGAAAATTTTATTTATTTTGTTATTTATTATTTTAGTTTTTTAAATACTATTTATAAATAGATTTAAAACTTTAAACTTAGTAATTGAGTTGAAAGAATAAAGAACTACTAGTCCAAATCAGAGGGCGAAGTCGACTTAAAATTGTCGGCGGCGGCGGCTGAGCTAAAAAAATTCGGCGGCGGCTAGCAGTCGGCTCAGAGCCGAACGTTTTTAAGAAAATTTAAATTCTTAAATGTATGCTCAAAAAGAACTAAAAATATCAAAAATAAAAGATTGAGAGAATCTAGTCTCTTTGCTTAAAATATTAATAATAATTGATTTATAAAAAAGGTATCCAAATATAGTCTTTGGTGGCGTACGATTTAGATTGAATTTGGAAAAACGGAAAAAACCGTTTCGGTAAATTTTATTGAGGATTATTATGTATTAATTTCAACGAATTATATTAAACTCATCTGTGTTAAAATGCAAAAAATCTGAAAATTTTACGAAAAATTTAAAAATTCCGATTACTTTTACTGTTACCCAAAAATTTCTGATATGCCATTGTAAGCGTCTCTCAAGGACCTTTCAGCTCACCAAATATTGACCTCAGGACAAAAATTTTGAGAAACGGAATCTTAGAATCAATTAAAATTTAATTTTAGTCGGGAACATCGACACCTTATTTTTCCTCCATACAAACGGGGCCACCCTAATGTATTGAAAATTATAAAATATCGCTTGTTACATATATCCTTTGTGAAAAATCGTGTACGTTTTCAAAATATAATTGGGCCAATAATATTAATTTTGTTACAGAGAACGAATATCGATTTCGTAATGATTCCGAAAGTAATTGGTCTCACATAACCATATAAAAACTTTAAAAAATGTTAGTCGACTTAAGCCGCCTGTTTCGGCGGCGACTCAAGCAACTGAAGATTGTTCGGCGGCGACTAAGCGCCGACTCGAAGCCGGTCGACTTCGCCCTCTGGTCCAAATCTCAAAACTCATTTAGTTAAACTTCACTAACATTTAAACTGAGTGTGTGAACACCCTTTCTTTCTTAAACTTCCAAAATTCTCTTAATACTCAACTTATTTACTAATTTTAAAGCTTAATTTAAGTTTAAATTATTTAAAATTAAGTTTTATTTATATATAACGCACATTCTTAACTACCGAAAAATCGAAAAATATTTAATATCCATAGTTTTAAATTAAAAGAAAATAATGATAAATAGCATTTGAAGCAAGTTGTGGGCCAACTATCTATGTTTTGCTGCCTGTAAGTTTATTATTTTTTTCGAATAGATTTATTTTTATGCAAATTTATATTTAAGCAATTAACGATTTTTATTAATTATCAGAATCATATTGTCAAAATAGGTTAAAACTATATTGAATCAAAAAATAAAACTATGGCAGAGACTAAATTGATCAAAATATACTGTAAGTCTACTAGTAAATCAATATTAATAAAAATATATTGTTTCCCAGCAGTTCCGGGAGAAACCTACCAGTTAAGGTCACTACTAGCCACTCGTTCACTAGTAATAACTAGAATCTTTAGTTATTTTAACATGGACATGTTCTAGAAGAAAGTCTTGACATATTTTGGAAACGTTAAACATATGATATGTCGACTACAAATGGACATAAGTCGAAGTGCTTTACAAACCTACCGTGTTGGCCTTATTTCACTATAATACTTTTACAAGCCCTGGATGTACTTGTTAGACGACTCACCGCTGCCCCTTTGCACTTCTGGCAATACATGGTTCTGTCGGTTCATGCACAAGTACTCGAGCTATCTAATCTCTTGAGCATTGCTGCCCGTTGCGCAACATCCGAGATTTAGTTCCCATCTGTTTACAAATATGCAGATGGGATGGCCTCTGTTGATTCGGCAACAATATCTAGATACGTAATCGGTAGTCCGAAATACGAATTCATCAAATAAGCCAAAGACATGTTCTTACTCATAGAGAACTCACTGTGAAAAGTCTGGTATGAACGGATTAAATCTGAACAGGAAAATTCAGTGGTATCACTTGTATTCATCCATCATCATTCAATTCAGAACCCATTAATTAATTCCTTATGATATACATTTGACACCAACTCATTTCACGCTTAGTCTCACAGTCACTCCTCTACGGAGTATCTGTTGTCTCGGCAACAGTACCGATTATATATACTTATACTTTACAGTGTACATATCAGACTTTTAAACAACATTCTCTTCAAACTAGTTTGGGTTTAAGCCACAAGACAAAGTTCGAAACTTGATCCCGTGGTACCAGATTATATGGCACTCTGGTTCGATGTCAGGTCAAATCATTTCAAGAAAGATTTTTAAGTCCCAGCAGACTAAAGGTGCTGGTAGTACCTCTTTTCTCGGATTGCAATACATGCCCCGGCTGAATTCAAAAATACCCAATTGGTTTACCTAGGCTACAGTTAGGAGACGACTGTCTCCGCTTTCGTTTACCAAAGCTACGGTAAAGGGACAACTTTGTTTGCTCTAGACTACGACGGAATTCAAAAGTACCGCCTTCGTTTACCTAGGACTGTACCCGCTTTCGTTTGCCAAAGGTGCAGTAAAGTGACGACTTTGTTCGCTCTCGACTGCGAAGTGTACTTTGGTAAGATAATAATAACAAATTTGGGGCCTTTTTTCGTGTCCATAATAGAGTTCATGAGCATAGTCCTTGTATTACTAATAGTCCATTTAAAACCATAGTGTCATTTTTAAGGGAATCCAAAATTCAACACACACTAAAGTTAGGAACAATTTTATCTTGAAAAAGAGTAATCAAGTATTCCAATACATTTCTTTACTAAAATGGTGTCCATGAACATTATAACACTTTTAACTGACTCTTTTTGGTGTCATCGTTTCACCAACTCGTTGGATGTTGTATAATTAGTCTCGATATCTTTTAGAGGTTCATGGTTATGTATTGATGACCTTCTATCCAATAGAGTTTCTAAATCGTTTAGAGCTGCTCAACAATTAAGTACTGTATAGCCTTCAGTTTAGGTATCCATACTACATTCCAGACTTAAGATCCTTCATATCCTATAGATTAGATATGTGTTTATGATTTGATTTCAATCAGAGTTGTGATTTGGAATGTATTGTCATTTGAAATATTCGACATTCAAGTTCCAGATTGAATGTTGTACAAACATCATTGATGGACTAAAGATCTGTTTGGCTTTTGGAATGTTTTATAAAGATGTCTAATAAAGACACTTGATAGCGTTAAGATTGACTATGGGAGTAGACTTGAATATAAATGTTCATACCACTTGATCACGAGAAATCAGCCTTAAAACCTCTTTAAAAGAACTCGACTAGAACATCCGCTTGAAGAGCTTAAACCCTGGCCTTCCGACGAGTCGCAATCTGAAATATTTTAACATCTAATATGAACCAGAATGGATGTTGTGTGGATATTGTCTTACTCGTTTAGAGCTGAAGCCATACAATAGGCTTAGATATCGGGAATGTTTTATAAAGATGTCTAATAAAGACACTTGATAGCGTTAAGATTGACTATGGGAGTAGACTTGAATATAAATTTTCATACCACTTGATCACGAGAAATCAGCCTTAAAACCTCTTTAAAAGAACTCGACTAGAACATCCGGTTGAAGAGCTTAAACCCTGGCCTTCAGAAGAGTCGCAATTTGAAATATTTTAACATCTAATATGAACCAGAATGGATGTTGTGTGGATATTGTCTTACTCGTTTAGAGCTGAAGCCATGCAATAGGCTTAGATATCGGTTTTGAATATCAATTTGGTTTTCTGAAATGACCGAAGTCATCTGTAGAGATCTTACCTTAGTACCTGGTAGTTTTATGGGTTCAGTTACATACACTGTTAGTTCTCTTGTTCATTAGAAAGAGATAGTTATTAGACGATTTATTGTCTAATAAACTTATTGTCTGTTGTATCTCTCAAATTATCGATCAAAGTCATAAGTTCGCATTAAACTATATTTCGCGTGCCCTTAATAACACTTTCACAAAGGTTTTGTTCACTCCATTTGATCCAGATGGGATCAATACGAAATATTCCAAATCAAAGAATAGTTGGGGTTTGTATTTCTCTTTTTCGTTCGGGACAATTGAGCACTGCCCTAAGTCTATATTTAAATCTACTTTACTTGCTCTTATAATATTGATTCTGCTTAAAGATATGCCTTTTTTCCAAATTATTTATTTCATATTAAAAAAAATTTTGCAAACATAAGTTTTTAGATAAGTTTTTATAAAAACTATTGAAAATCATAGTAAATTTTTATAATTTTTATTAACAATATCTAACATTGATTTTTATTAAATATCTAACTTACTCTCTACTTTTACCACCGCTGTTTATTCTATAAAGCAGAGTTGCATTTGTTTTAGCATTTGGCCCTCAATTCAAAAACAAGTACAAAATTTTTAACCAGCCACATAATATTTTGAAATTTTCTTTTGTTTTTGTAATTAAGCAATATTGGTTTTA